GTAGTCCTTGTCACTTCACCTGATAGTTCAGAAGATCCCGTCACGGCTCCTGATGTTCCTGATGTCCCTGTCACTGCAGCTGATGGACCAGATGTCTCTGACACTCCAGCTGATGGTACAGAAGTCCTTGTCACTCCTGATGATTGTGCGGTGCTCCCTGTAACTCGAGCTGATAATGCAGAAGTCCCCGTCACCCCTGCTGAAGGTTTAAATGTCCCTGACACTCCAACTGAAGTTCCAGTTGTCCTTGTTAATCTTGATGATTGACCAGGTGTCCCTGTCAATGGTCCAGATATACGTGAAACTCCAGCTGAAAATCTACTTGCTTCTGTCACTTGTGCTGATTGTCCAGTACTCCTGGTCTCTCCAGCTGATGGTCGTGATGACTCTGACATTCCAGGTGATGATCGAGTTGTGCTTATCACTGTTGATGACTGTCCAGTAGTCCCTGACACTCCGGAAGTTTGTCCAACGAGTGGTCCTGATGTCCTTGTCACACCTGATGATGTTACTGATGTCCTTGTCACTCCAGCCGGTAATGTAAATGTCCCTGTCACTTCATCTGATGGTCCTGAAGTCCCTGAAACTCCAGCTGATGGTCCCGTTATCCTTGACACTTCTGATAATTGTACAGTAGACCCTGTCACTCCACCTGACAGTAGAGACGTCTGTATCANCCTTGTCACACCTGATGATGTTACTGATGTCCTTGTCACTCCAGCCGGTAATGTAAATGTCCCTGTCACTTCATCTGATGGTCCTGAAGTCCCTGAAACTCCAGCTGATGGTCCCGTTATCCTTGACACTTCTGATAATTGTACAGTAGACCCTGTCACTCCACCTGACAGTAGAGACGTCTGTATCACTCCAGCCGATGATCCAGAAGTTCCAGACACTCCTGGTAATTGTCCAGAAGATTCTGTCACTGTAGCTGATGGTCCAGATGTCCCTGACACTCCAACTGAAGTTCCAGTTGTCCTTGTTAATCTTGATGATTGACCAGGTGTCCCTGTCAATGGTCCAGATATACGTGAAACTCCAGCTGAAAATCTACTTGCTTCTGTCACTTGTGCTGATTGTCCAGTACTCCTGGTCTCTCCAGCTGATGGTCGTGATGACTCTGACATTCCAGGTGATGATCGAGTTGTGCTTATCACTGTTGATGACTGTCCAGTAGTCCCTGACACTCCGGAAGTTTGTCCAACGAGTGGTCCTGATGTCCTTGTCACACCTGATGATGTTACTGATGTCCTTGTCACTCCAGCCGGTAATGTAAATGTCCCTGTCACTTCATCTGATGGTCCTGAAGTCCCTGAAACTCCAGCTGATGGTCCCGTTATCCTTGACACTTCTGATAATTGTACAGTAGACCCTGTCACTCCACCTGATAGTAGAGACGTCTGTATCAATCCAGCCGAAGATCCAGAAGTCCCAGACACTCCTGGTAATTGTCCAGAAGATTCTGTCACTGTAGCTGATGGTCCAGATGTCCCTGACACTCCAGCTGGAGGTACAGATGTTGCTGTCACTCCTGATGACTGGTCAAGTGTCCCTGACAATCCTGACAATTTTCCATCAGTCCCTGTCACTGCAGCTGATGTCCCAGATATTTCTGTCATCTGTTGTGATGTTCTAGACTTACTTTTCAATCCAACTGATTGTTGAGATGTCCCTGACACTATGGATGAAGGTTCAGAAGTCCCTGTTATTCCTGATGATAATCCAGTAGTCACTGTCACTCCACCTGATAATGCAAATGTCCCTGTCACTGTAGCTGGTGGTTCAGATGTCCCTGACTCTCCAGTTGATAGTACAGATGTCTCTGTCACTCCAGATGATTGTCCAGTACTGCCTGATGGTCTGGATGATGTTAAAACTCCAGCTGAAGGTACAGATGCCCCTGTCATTCCAGATAATTGTCCAGTAGGCCCTGTCACTCCAGCTGATAGGTCAGATATCCCTGGCACTGCAGCTAAAGATACAGATGACTGTGACTCTCTGGCTGAAGGTCTTAATGTCCCTGTCACTCCTGATAATTGTCCAGAAGTCCCTGTCACTTCAGCCACTTGTCCAGAAGTCCTTTTCATTCCAGTTGATGGTACAGATGACCCTGACACTCCAAGTGATGAACCAGTTGTCTGTATCACTCTTGATGATTGCCCCGTAGTCCCTGTCACTTCTGATGTTTTTCCAGCTGAAGGTGCAGATGTCCTTGATACTCCATCTGATGTTACCGATGTCCCTGCTGTCCTTGTAACTCCTAATGATTGACTAATAGTCCTTGTCACTTTAGCTGATAGTTCAGATGTGCCTGTCACTGCAGATGAAGGGCCAGATATCTCTGACACTCCAGCCGACAGTCCAGATGTCCCTGTCACTGCTGCTGAATGTCCATTGTCCCCTATCACTCTAGCTGATAAAGTAGGTGTCTCTGTCACTCTAGCTGATGGTCCAGATATCCCTGACTCTCCAGCTGATGATCTAGTTGTTCCTGTCACTCTTGATGATTGTCCAGAATTCACTGTCTCTCCAACTGATGGTCCAGATGTCCCTGTCACACCTGATGATGGTCCTGATGTCCATATCAACCCAGCTGATCGTCCTAATGTCTTTGTCACTTCAGTTGATGGTCCTGACTTCCTTGACACTCCAGATGATGGTCTAGTTGTCCCTAAAATCTCAGCTGATGATCCAGTTGACCCCATCACTTCTGATAATTGTACAGTTGACCCTGTCACTCCAACTGATAGTCCATATGTCCCTGTCACTCCAGTTGATTTTCCAGAAGTCCCAGTAACTCCTGATAATTGTCCAGAAGTTCCTGTCACTGTAGTTGATAGTCCAGATGTCTCTGACACTCCAGCTAATGGTACATATGTCCCTGTCACTCCTGACAACTGTCCACTAGTTTCTATCATTGTAGCTGATAGTCTAGATGCCTCTGTCACTGCTTCTGAAGGCCCAGATGTCTGTTGCACTCCAAGCAAATGTCTAGATGTCTCTGTCACTTCTGATGATTGTCCAGAAGTACCTGTCATGTCAGCTGATTGTGCAGAAGTCTTTGTCTCTCCAGCTAAAGGAACAGATGTCTCTGACTCTCCAGTTGATGGCCCAGATGTCCCTGACGGTCCTGCTGATGGTACAGATTTATCTGTCACTCCTGATGATTGTACAGTAGTCCTTACCACTCCTGATGTTTGTCCAGTATTCCCTGTCTTTCCAAATGATGATCTAGATGTCCCTGTCGCACCCAATGATTCTCCAGTACTCCCTGTTCCTTCAGCTGATTGTCCAGATGTTTCTGACACTCCAGATGATAGTATAGATGTTCCTGTCACTCCAGATGATTGTGCGGTAATCCCTGTCACTCTAGCAAATAGTCCAGATGTCCCTGACACTCTGACTGATGCTCCAGATGTGCCTGTCACTCCAGCTGAAGGTTCAGATATCTCTGTTACCTGTAGTGATTGTACAGAAGTCCCTGTCACTCCAGGGGATGATTCATATGTCCCTGACACTCCAGTTGATGATCCTGTTGTTCTTGTCTGCCTTGACGATTGTCCAGTAGTCCCTATTATGCCTGATGTTTTTGCAGTATTCCCTGTCACTCCACCTGATGGCCTAGATGTCACTGTCACTCCTGATGATTGTCTACTTTCCCCTGACATTTCTGATGATTGTTTGGTAATTTCTGTCACTCCAACTGATGGTCCAGATGTCCCTGTCACTCGTGATGATTGTCCTGATGTCCCTCTCATTCCAGATGATTGTCTAGATGTCCTCATCACTCTTGATGATTGTCCAGTAGTTCCTGTCACTCTAGCTGATAGTTCAGATGTCTGTGTCACTTTAGTTGATGGTTCTGATATCCCTGACACTCCAGCTGATGGTCTACTTGTCCCTGTCACATCTGATAATTGCACAGTAGTCCCTGTCACTCCAACTGATAATCCAGATGTCTTTGTCACTCCAGCTGATGGTCCAAATGTCCCTGACACTCCAGTTGATGGTACAGATGTCCCTGTTGCTCCAGCTGGAGGTTCAGATGTCCCTGTTTTCCATGATGATTGTCTAGAAGTCCCTGACACTCCAAGTAATGATCCAGTTGTCCTAGTCACTCTTGATGTTTGTCTGGTAGTCTCTGTCACACCTGATGTTTTTCCAGTATTCCTTGTCACTCTAGCTGATGGTCTAAATGTCACTGTCACTCCTGATGATTGTCTACTTTCCCCTGACACTCCTGATGATTGTCTGGTAATCTCTGTCACTGCAATTGATGGCCCAGATATCCCTGTTACTTGCGATGATTGTCTAGAAGTTTCTTCCACTCTAGTTGATGGCCTAGATGTCTGTGACACTCCAGCTGATAGTCCAGATGTCTTTGTCACTCCAGCTGATGGTCCAGATATCCCCGTCACCCCTGATGATTGCCAAGAAGATCTTGTCACTGCAGCTGATGGTCCAAATGTCCCTGACACTCCTGTTGATGCTACAGATACCCTTGTTACTCTTGATGATTGTCCTGTAGTCCCTGTTGTTCCCACTGATAGTCCAGATTTCCCTGTCACTTTAGCTGATAGTCCAGTTGTACTCAGTCCTTCGACTGATGGTCCATTTGTTTCTGATCCATCATCTGGCGGTTCTGTTGTCCCTGAAACTTCACTTGATAATCCAGTTGTTTCAATCACTCCACGTGTTTGTGCATAATTCCCTGTCACTTCAGCTGATGGTTCAGCTGTCCCTGTCAACACAAGTGGTAAAAGTATAATGATATTAACATCTGATTTTGTCTTTGGTTAACCTAAAGGACTCGTGCTGCTTTCTTTCTCTGTTATAGCTTTCAAGCCCCTTCATCCCCACAGCAACCACTTTATTTTATACCATTCTTTCTGCATAGCATAACTTCTCCTGTTTTTTTTCTTTTTATCACTGTAACAATCATTTATTCAATACTTACTATTTGTCAAAGAAGTTCTCAGCAAATTATAAGTATTACTTCATATTACTGTCACAATAATCCTGTGAAATCTGTAATATTACTTTTCATTTTATAGAGTAGAATCTAAGGCACAAAGAGCTTAAGTAGCTTTTCTAAGTTGATAAAGCTAGAGAGTTTTCTGCTCTCGTAGAGCATTCAAGTTGGAGGAGAGAAAGAAACAGACATATAAATGAAATAACTAGCCAATCAATCAATCAACTTCACAAATAAAAAAAGCTTCAGAGCTCAAACATAAAGTGAAGTGATATTGAGCAACTGGGACTTCTATTTTAGACTGCCTAGTTAGCAAAGGCTTTTATTGGAAGATATCATTTATTTGGAGCTCTGTTAAAGAGAAGTAGCCAGTTATGTGAAGCTGTGGAGGAATGACATTCCAGGCAGACAGGACAGCCAATATAAAAGTCATGAGGCTAATTGAGCTATGCTTATTAGACAAGCAGAACCAGAAGTTGAATGTAGCTGGATCATGGGAGGTGAGGGGGAATATATTAGAGGTAGGATCAGATACATAGGAGTGAGCAAATATTGTGAATGGGGGAAGGGAGGCTGGACATTTTTCTAACTGCAATGGGATATAATTTTAAGTACTAGAGTGATAGCATACAATTTTTATATATTTATAGTCCCTCTGGGGAGAATATATGGTGAGAGGTGGATAATAGAGGTAGAAAGACCAATTATAAGGTAATTTCAAAAGTCCAGAGAATTCATGAGTGGCTTGTGCTAGAGTGGTAATAAAGGAGATGGAGAACAGGGGATGGGATTCATGATATGTTTTGGAAATAGCATTAACAGGCCTTGTTTTGATGTGGGCGATGCAGGGGGGAAGGAGGCATTAAAGATAACTCTGAGATTTATACCTGAATAAACTGAGTCAGTAATGGTACCATTTTCTGATACAGAGGAAGACTGGGAGAACAGGTGTGGGTATGAAGGGAAATAAAAAATTCTGTTTAAGTCATGTTAAGTCTGAGATGCTTGTTAGGCCTACAAGTGGAAATGTCAAGTCAGCAACCGAGTTTGAATCTAGAGTTCCAGAGAAGTCAAGACTGGAGATATGTATTTGGAAGTTTACATTTCAGATGTCTTCAAAAGTTTCCTGTATCTGACTTACTTCCGACAGATGATGCAGTCATCTCCACTGGGCCTGTCCTGTCTCTGACTACTAGAAGCTATTCTTTGAGCTCAACTTAAGGGAACTTTCCATCAGCCAAGTCAGCTCTTGCTTTTTTTCTACAGACCAGTTTGCTAACTACTGGTTGATACTCTGATTGCCTCTGGAACCTTAACTTTATTCTCACTGAAGAAACTTGGAATTAGAATTCTGTTTAAAGACCCACTATGCTTCATAGCATTGTCATCCTTTGACACTGAGTAAATCTTAGGTTTCTATTTCCTCTATTATCTGTGGTACTATAAGCCCATGCTGGGCTTTCTCTCTTATTCCAAGCTCCTACCTCTTCCACATCCTCATCTCCATCACAAATATCTCTAACTCTGTCCTCCAGAATCCACATTCAATAGTTTTAAGAAATCTCTTCTATATGTTTAACTGCTTTGCAAAATGCTTCCACTTCCTCCTGGCTTTAATCTAATGGGACTCATACTCCAACAACCCTAGCACCACCCAAAATGCTCTAGTTCTGATATCCTAATACCAAGAATTCCATTAATGGACCAGATGAGGATGGGAACCTTGCATTTGTAGAGATATACATTTATCTACACAGTGGTGTGTGTGTGTGGATGGGTACATGTTTCCAGCAAAATCCCATCACTTGGCTATAGCAGAAAATAGCCCACTGCCTCCCAGAAGGTTCTTTTCCACATGACCTGTTATTTTACCTCACTGATAGGAATATAGCCTCTTTATCCTTTACCAGAAAGGGAACACCTATTTATTTATTTACTTATTCAGCAGGTAGCCACCACATGCTTATTAAGTACCCAAACCAGGAACTGAGCTATGCATTAGAATCACAATTGTAAACAAAAACAGGCAAGGTGACAAGATCTTTCTTGAGTTTTGACAGAAATCTATCATGTTGGTGGCCTGTTTAGTAGCAGAGAATGACTGGATGATGAGTGAATGATCTAAGGCCTGTCTTGGCCCCACAACACATTTATCCTGTGACTTTGGAGTAACCATATTGGTTTTTTATATACAAAATGTGAATAATTACTAATATACTGTCAATTGCACAGAACAGCTGTAAGATTCAAGTAAGTTAATCTATGTGAAAACGCTTTGTCCCTTTTACATTTCACATACTTTTCCTGATTACCATTTGTATTTTTGTTAACACAGATTAAGGTGACTCTCAAATGATATTATATAATGATAATGACTACTTCTTATCTTTTTTTTTTTTCAGTTAAATTTTACTCAATTTATCTGGTCAAATCCAAGATATAAGAATGGTATTATTTTTTTCTAACAATTACATTTTTAAGGAAGTTTTTGTTTGCTTATTTCTTGAGAAATATTTACCAATCAATTTATTTATTTTTAATCTATATAATTAGTCTTTTAAAACAAGTTAAGTGTTATGAGACACAATCATTGCTAAGCAAAAGGTGAAAACATTCATTGCATGGTTTACATATTTCCTTGACAGGTGAGCTTTGAGCAAATGAGGTGCAGACATGTCCTATCTGCAAATTCTAGAATAAAAGACTTTTTTAAAAACCAACGTACAGAGGTTCTAGGAAGCAAACCATCATCTAAATTTTTAGACAATTCAGAAGGCAATGTTATTTATTAAATAATTTTCAGAAATGGGGAAAGCTGTTTATCAAGGTTCTAAATCTATTCATTAAAAAAACTTATGAAAAAATATGTTAATATTATAAATAACAAACATTTTATAATAGTAAAGATAGTGTTTTTATGCAAAAGATTGCAAAAGAAGAATTCTACTATGAAATTTAACTTATGAAAAAATATGTTAATATTATAAATAACAAACATTTTCTAATAGTAAAGATAGTGTTTTTATGCAAAAGATTGCAAAAGAAGAATTCTACTATGAAATTTTAATATCCTTGTTGAGGCCTGATAAGCTTTTAATATCCAGCAGCCTATTATTCAAAAAAAAAAAAAA